TTGTAGGACTTGAGAGGGGGTCCTCTCTACGGAGGCTGTCGTGTTTTTGACAGAAGTCCAGCCAGGACAAACTAAACATCTTTTGAGTTTTTATGTACATGGAGAGGGGTCCTCTCTGTGGAGGCCGCGATGTTTTTTTTACTGTCGCCCAAACTGGACAAACTAAAGGGGTTGAGTTTTCATGACAGCTGAAGTTCAGCACAGGTTCTCCTTTATGTTGGGAAGGGGAGGGTGAGATGAGGAGTATTCAGCTGCAACATACAACTTCACCTATATACAAAATACATGATAAAACAGATAATTCCTATATGGCTCAGTTAATGAAAATAAACTTTATTTGGGGAGCACATCTCAAATGAATCAGTAAAGTCATTCAAAGAAGAAAGCAAAACGACAAACTGAAGTGTCAAGAGTACTCAACAGTTGACTCTACAATTAAAAGCTACATGTCTGATTTTAAAAACCATACCATTATTTTCACTGCAAACATATTTAGCATGCCAGTTACTTCCCCTTAAGAGTCTCAGTCTGTGGGTGGTGATATACTTTTAGTGTGAGTGTGGATTGGAAACAGTCCAAGCAACAAGATGAGCTGGGGTCAACTGTAACCCTCTCTCCTGGTACGGCATCTTTCAATGTGATTGAAGCAGGATGTGTTGGGGTAGGTGTTAAGAACTGTTGCCAGTTAAAACCAGCCAAGACCTATATCTTTTCAAGGCTCAGTGTGTAGAATTTAGTGATATCGAGTGTTGAAATATGGATGTTGCAGCTGAACACCCCTCACCTCGCCCTCTCCTAACAAACATGAAAAAGAAACTGTGGTAACCTTCAGTTGTCGCAAAGGTGTTTAGTTTGTCCAGTCTGTCCAGACCGTAGAGAGGGTCCCCTCCATGTAAATATAAAGTATTTAAATGTAAAGAGTCTTTTCTGGGGTAAAGAAAACTACAATTCATACAATTTAGATGAAATGAACTCATGAAAACATCATGAGGATTATTCTACATTAAATATCAGCCAGTAGGTCCCTTTCACCTAAATCTTACACACTGGACCTTTAACTTATTCTCTTTTGAAGATTAGGTAGATTTTCCTGTTGAAAAAACAACATTACCACCATCATATTTTATCATACACATAGATGAAAAGTAATTGACTTTCAACTGCCAGCAGTAAGCATGCCAGTATATAATCTTTTCCTATATAAATT